TTAGCTCTGCAGGAATTGGAGTAAAAATGCACATAAATGATTGGCAAGAGGCTACCTGCTCACATATTGTTGAATTTTCTGGACCATCTTGCCTCCCGTTTCCTGTTCCTATCTGGGGCTACTTTCTGCATTTGCACTTCTTTTCCCAGTGAGGGTTCTATGGCTCAGTGCTACCTGTCTCTCTACCATATATTCACTAACACCTTGGCTAATCTGGGTAACACTCACCTGGTAGAACCTCAAATCTGATCAGCCCCAGCTCTCTGTCTACTCTGTATCTGCATCTAGGCAGCTGCAGATGGCGGGAAGAAACACAGGATGGTATTGAGAAATCTCACAGTGACAAAACTCAAGGACTACCTTATGTATAGCTCTGCTTAACTTAACCTTCCAGATCTTACAGCCGATTAATATTTCCTCCTGTCAAGGCAACTAATGGGCACCATTTTGCTAAATTTGTCCTCAACTCACTCAGCTACTAAGCAGCATTTGACACAGTTGTTCATTTCTCCTTGAAACTTGGCTTTGGACACCACCTGCTCCTGGCTGTCCTCCTACCTCACTGCGGCCCCTTTTTAGACCCCTAGATGCTGGGGTGTTCCAAGTTCTATCCTCAGACCTCTCTTTATCTGGTCTCTAGGTTAAGGCTTAGAGGTGGATAATTCTTTGTTGTGGGGGCCTCTTTTCTACCTTGTGGTATGCTTAGGGACATCCCAACCTCTACCCACTAGATGCCAGGAATGTCTTCTACCCCACAGTATGACACTTAAAATTATGTACAGGTATTGCAAAATGTACCCTGAGGGACAAAAATCACCCCTGGTTGAGAACCTATGGTATAGGTTAAACTCAACTGGATGCATGGCTTTAAGTATCTTCCCAGAGGTGACGAGTCCCAAACTCCAAGCTTAGACCTTTCTTCAAGCTCCAGATCTGGACACCAAACTGTCTTCTTGGTATCTCTACTTGGAGGTAGTATTAACACTTTTTATTTATCTATTAACCTTATTAATCAGACTGTTTACCTTATTAATCAGACTGTGGTCTCCATGCAGGTAGCCATTTGCATATTCACAATGTATTCCCAGGGCCTAAAACACTGTTGGGCATATAGTAGCAGCTCAAAATATACTTGCTGGTTAAAAAATTAACACCTTATATATTGGAATTCATTTCATGTAGTTAATCAATGATGGGGCAACCAGGCAGATAATTTTAACCCACTAAGTCTTAAGTTTTCAATTCTATGCATATTTCAATGAAATTGACATAGGTACATTAAAGTGTGTTGCACTGTATATATAATATTATTAAAATCATTATAGTATAATACAATTATATTCTTATTATAACATACTTATATATTACATACTATATTTAAGTTTTTATAGGTGTTTTACATCTGGGATGATGAGACAAAATGGGTTCAACATATCTTTAAAGACAAATTTTTGACAGGTATGGTGATACATATATGTAAACCCAGCTACTAAGGAAGCTGAGGCAGGAATATTACAAGTTTGGGGCAAGCCCGGGCAACTTAGGGAGACCTTGCCTCGAAACAGAATTTTAAAAAAGAGAGATATACCTCAGTGATAGAATGCTTGCCTAGCATGCGTGAGGCCCTGGTTTAATCCCTAGTACTGGAAAAAAACATTAATTTTGGGTTAAAAGAAATGTCTCATTTTTAAATAAATGTGGAAATGGTACTATGTAGTAAATTCATTTAGTTAAAATTTTACTATAGTCTTGGACAAAAAAAAAATAGAAATAAAGTTCTCATCCTTTCAACATACTTGCTCTTCTCTAAATCCTTTAGATTTGATTTTAATTTGGGCATATATATGAGTATAACATAAAAATATTTATTTATACTTAATGTATAATATTATACAATATTCACTTCAAATAATACTTGTGTCTTGACTGTTATCAGGCCAATTAGATATCAATTCTTAACTGCAAGTGGTTTCTTCAATGGTATATCCTATTGGTCTAAGTTATATTGTGGATGGTAGAGTGTGAAGGTTTGATTTCATTTAAAAAACTGTTTCCTGGTAATATCTACATCTGTGAGTAAACGCCACTGTTTTCATTTGTTCTCCTTCTCCTAGGGAAGTAATGAACCAATGTGTCATTTCTTTATCCCCCACCCCCTTAATGTTCACAGACACTATAATCATGTTTATTTTTAATTAAAGAAGACTATGATTCCCAGTATTTACTTTTAGGCCAGGTAGCATCTAGACAACTTCTCATAGCTCTCCCCAGTTTATTTATTTGCTTGGGTGTCTATTCACTAAGCTTGCAAACACTGTATATTCCTTTACACAAATTTCCTGAGGTTTTTATATCAATCATCCTTTGAAAAGAACTGAATAATGTCTTATTGATTTATGCAAGCTGGAGGTGATGGCTCTCAAAACTCTGTAAGTAACAGACTATAAATATTTATTTTTGCATAGCATGGAACTCAACCCAAATCCAATTAGCTCTATAGATATGATAAGCTCACCTTTTATACACTTACCTGTGCCTTCAAACTGTTAAGAGACATCTCTACTACATACACTTTAATGAATATACTCAAACACGGTATTCTATATATTTAAGACTATTAAAGTTTATAAATTTAGTATTATCTTTTTTTTTTCTAATTCCATTTTTAGTTATTTGATTTGACTTCAGTATGGCTCAGAAGGCCTTCAGTAAGCCTTCAGAAAAAGCTAGATGAGTTTTCAAGGTCCTTTTAGCCTGAATAGTAAAAATTTTCATTCATTTTTTTCCTTTTGTGAAGGGCTTTTTTAAAAAAAAATGTTCTAATTAGCTATATATGACAGTAGGACACATTTAGACACACTGTATACAAATGGAACACAACTTCTTTCTCTTGCTGAACATGGTGTAGGGTCTCACTGGTAGTATAATCATACATGTCTACAGGGTAATAATGTCCTTCCCAACCCCACAGCCCCCTCCTCCCCTCACTCCTCTTTGCACAATCCAAAGTTAGTATCACCTTTTTAATCATCACTTCTTTAGTGCAAAATTTACAAAAAGAAAGCCTCTAGAAGCATTTTTTTAAAATACTGTACAGGAATAATATGTCACAAAAACTGGAATGCTAACTTTAGTACTAGAGGAAATCTTTAAAATCATGAAAAATTTTTATGCTTGATTTTTCATCATGTATTTTTGTTTATTTATTTATTTTTGGTGGTACTGGGGATTGAATCCTTGTGCATGTGAGGCAAGCACTTTACCAACTGACCTATATCCCCAGCCCTCATCATTTATTATTGATGAAATATTTTTTTTTCGTGGGGGACTAGGGATTGAATCCAGGGGCATTTTACCTTTGAGATACATCCATGGTCCTTTTTATTTTTTATGTTGAGATAGGTAAGGTCTTGCTAACTCGTTGAGGATCTCTCTAAATTGCTGAGGCCTTAAACTTGTGATTCTCCTGCCTCAGCCTCCCCAGTCACTGAGATTATAGATGTATACCACCTTACCCAGTGCAGATGAAATATTTTTAGAAAAAAGTTTAAAGGTATTAACCTGCCTTTTAAAACATTTTTTTTTTCATTAAGTAATTCTAAATATAAGTTTTAAGAAGAGCTTTAATTATATGGAGACATTAATGAAACTGATTCAACTTCTTGGTGCTGGGAATATGGCCCAGTGAAAAGCACTACTAGCCCACCATGCTGAAGGCCCTTGTTCTGATCCCTAGAACTGATAAAAACCAGACAGAGGGACAAATAAAAACAGATTTAACTTCCCACAAACCAATTAATGCTGGTAAGTTTAAAAAGTACAAAAAATGTCCTCATGAACTTTGAGTGTAACTGAATGCACGTTGTCTTACATTCTGGGACACCGAAGGAGTAAAAAAAATTATATAAATGTTCTTGCATATAAATAAAATTTATTTAGTATAAGATTTTACAAATTATAAAATCTCATTCACCCTAAAAATAATGCTAAAGAAAGTTGATCAGAGGAGCTCCATATTAGAAAAAATGACTTAGCTTAGCCAATAAAATAGACAGAACCACCTCTGCAATAAGAAGTTTGATTGGATGTCTCCATCTTTCCTGAAGAGTGTGGGCAGACTGACTCACCCACAAAGACACTGATGCATTCTTGGGCCAAAATGCCATGCAGTCTGTTGTTCACAGAGAGCGGATTTCTAAGAAACAGAATTCTGGCCTCCTAAATCTTGAAATGTTCAGAGAATGTGACTTAATTGGACTTCCTGTGGAAATGAGGTTAAATAGGAAATCCTTTCAATGTGAACACTTTCTAATGTGGTTGAATATAACTGTGGGTGCTGCTGAAGAAAACACAATAGACGTGTGGGTCATACGACTGGATCTAGTTGGTGGCAATGCTTCAAGATCAAGTCTGGTCAAAGGAGCTCACTGTAAGTGTGGAAGGGGGAGTGCCTTGTTCCTTTAAGAAGGCAAAGCACATGAAGCAGAGCAAACCTTAGCTAGCATTTTTTTCAGGGTAAGATTTTTATCCACTTTTTTGGTGTATATTGCAATAGATCGTTCACAAAGAATGGAATGAATCGAGGCTGATCTCAGGGCAGCTTTGGAAGTCTTTTCTTTCTTCCTTAATTAAAGGTTGAGTATTCATTTCATCATATGCCTTTGCTCTGAAGAGTCGAATACCCAGCCCCACAGAAGGTCTAATCAAACATATATTACACATTAGGGAATAAAGTCCAAATTAAAAAATATCTTTTATCTGCTTTTGCAATTTTATTTCTGAATTCATCACTTAAATTCTAACAAAAGACAATGCTAATGAAGAGAGTATGTGGTCAGGAGCCAGGTTAGCTCTGTAATACATGCAGTTTTGGTGGCTAACACTAATCCACTGGGAGGATGGAACTCTCCTGGGAGGCAGACACGCACGTACTGTGTACATACAGACTTGAATGTTAAATTATTTTAGTGAAGATAAATATTTGGTTGTTCAAGAGCTACCTTCACGTTGAAAGTAATTTCCTCCATGACGTACACGCGTTCAGGAAATGCTTTAGCCACCTCCTCCACACTGTTGAAATATTGCACTGGCTCTTTTATGTCTCTGTCTTGTTCCAGCAGCTTGAATTGCCCTAAAACACATGATAAACAGAAGAGATGTGAGATGTTTCTGTTGGACAGCTGTCACCGTGGCGACAGCACCCTCTTTATGCCAACCTTTTTTTTTTTTTTTTTAAATCAAAGATTCCTATTCATCATTAAAAAAAGGATTCCCATAGCACAGAGGTTTTTTTAAACTGAAATATTACATATATTATTATTATACTATATATACTATGTACATATAGATCAGCTTAAAAACGAAAACAAAGACATAAGTTTTCTCTTTATTTTCAGGGGTCCCAAATTACCTGGAATGAATGCTTACTTGTCTTTTGGTCTCAAAGTGAAAACCTACAGATATAAAAGGTTGCTTATTTTGTTTTTAACAGTAAGGTAACTTGTCTTTTAGTTGTAATAATACCCACACATGTTACATTCTAAACCAAGGTACAGCAGCCTAGCAGAACTAAAATTTTAAAGTTAATATATAAAGTCGAGTAAAGCTGGGTGCAGTGGCACATGCCTGTAATCTCAGTGGCTCAGGAGGCTGAGGCAGGAGGATCACAAGTTCAATGCCAGCCTCAGCAACTGAGAGAGACCCCATGCAACTTAATGAGATTGTGTCTCAAAATAAAAAATAAAAAGGGCTGGGATGTGGTGCAGTGGTTAAGCAACCCTGGGTTAAAATTTCAGTACCAAAACAAAAACAAAAACAAAAATAAAACAAAAAAACTGGCCTGGGGATATAGGTCAGTGGTACAGCATTTGAGTATTATGTATGAAGCCCTGGGTTCAATCCGTAGTACCACAAAAAATAATAAATAGAATAAAATAATATAATGAACTCTAGCTTTCACAAAATTGAAATTCTTGGTTTCAACAATACAGGGGAAACACTCTGTATCCAAGAGCTGTTGTAATGGTGACACTGCAGAGGCACAAGCATGAGGCAGACCCGCTGGGTTACAGGGTGAGCCCCTTCCCAACAGCTGAGCCTGGCCGGATGCACAGGAGCCAGGGCTTCACGTAGCTTCCTTCTTTTCTTTTGACTGAAATCCAAGTTAGTAAATATACTATTGCGGTGTACACGAATTGGGGAATTTGTGAAGAACTTTGAATATATTCTTAAAAATGTCAAGGATCAATTATTTACACATTTTCAATATTAGTGGATAGTGCTGCTACATTTTAGGGGAATTGTTTTCAGTTTAAAATAAAAGACAATTTGTAATCAAGACTAGGACACCATTTTCGGTGGTTATTTTCTGCATCTCTTTTCTGATATAACACTTGAGAAACTTGAAAGGAATCAAAAGCTATCACCAGGCGCTCTCAGTAGATTCTGCGGGGCATGAGGCAGAAACAGAAAAACTCTTGATTTATACCCTCAACACATTGCTTAGTGTGTATTCTAGATGCTGAAGATCTATCAAGAAACAGAACAGACAAAAATCTGTGAAATTCTGAAGGTTACATTCTAGTAGGAGGTAGAGAATGTAATAAATGTCTGAGGAGGTGAGAAGAAGTACAGGAAACAGGGCAGGGTGAGGGGCAGGCCAGAGCACGTAATGCTGAATAGGTGACCCTGGAGACAGGTGAGAAAGTGTTATGCTCAGTAGCGGGGGTAGAGTTCTCGGAATTCTAAACACAGGCAATAGCTTGTGAAAGACCCTTAGGTAGTTGGGTACTTGCCTGCCATCCTGCCAGCACGGCTGGAGCAGGCTATAAGCAGGGGTAGTAGAGGGAAGAGAAAGAACTTCAAAGTAGAGGAGAGGTGCTTTGATAGTTGAAGACCACTCTGGATGCCATGTTGGAAGATGTTGAAGTGTGCAGTGTAGAGTTAGGAGGCTCCTGCAGTAATTCAGGAAGGAGACGAAAGAGGTTTGGGAACTGCAAGAAAGTGTTAGGAACTGACCTGGGCCACTGAAGGGACAGAACTGTGATGAGATGGAGCAGACTGTGGGGGATAGAAGGAAGACCAGGTAAGTCTTGGACAAGTAAGTCTGAGATATGTATTGGACATATAACACAATACAATGAAGATACCCAAAAGCTCTTAGTTGGGCATATAAATGTGGAGGTCAGGAGAGAATCTGACTGGGAATAAACCTGGGAGTCATCAGCACATAGATGCTATTTCAAGTCATGACACTTTACTGATGATGAACCATAGTCTTGGGTGCAGACAGAGAAAAGGTTTAAGGTCTAAGTCCCAGGACACTGAGAACGAATGGCCAGGCGAGTGAGAGGCAAATCAATAAAGGGCGCATCCTGGAATAGGCGATGGAGTGCTTCAAGGGGAGGGATGCTGAATGTTGTGAATGGACATGAGATGATGGCTGAAAACCAGGGTATTTAACTGGGGACTTGGATAGGAGCAGTAAAACCACTGGGCCAAACACTGAACTGGATGCAGGAAAGATCCAGAAGGAGAAACTGGGAGACATAAGAATGGGCAGCAGATGATGTCTGCAGAGTACTGCTGAACAGGGGAGAGGAGGCATGGAGTGGGGGCTGCAGGGAGGGATGCAGTGGGGTTTGGAAATGTATGTTTTCCTAAATATGATGGGAGAAGCATCAGAGTCACTGGAGGTGGATGGGAATGACCAACAGAGAGGGGCAGGCTGACTTTGGGAGTTACTAGAGCCCCGGTGTTGAGTAGGCAGACGGGACACATCTGACACCAGAGTGGAGGGGCTGCCTTCAGACAGGAGTGCAGGCAGCCTATCTCCAGCTACAATGGGGCAGCAGCAGTGGGAACTGGTGGAAGCTCCCTGTTATTGCTTCAATTTTTCCAGCTAGAGCTAAAGCTCAGTGATAGTGAATAACATATAATGTGCCTGCTGGGCAGCATTAAGTACCCACTTGAAGTTTGTGGGCATGAATTAAAAGTGAAACCAGAAAGTACAACCATGCTTTTCTCCAGTCAAATTCAGAGGGAAAGTCAGTAGATGTGGTTTCTGCTAGTGTGAGAAGAGAGGGAGGACAAAGGAATAAAGTTGTGTGCAAGGGAGTGATTTTGCTGCCTGTCCATGGGCCTTGAACTGAGTAAAAAGGGACGCAAGATCCTGAGTGATAAGAAGAGAGATAGTGAAAAAGGTAGTGGGATCAATGGATCGGGGGCTTTGATGAAGTCGATTTTTTTGGCTTTGGAGGCAGTTATCTCAGCAGTCACAGAGCAGAGTGGCCTACTTAAAAATCATTACGTAAAAGCTACAGACAACATGAAGAAATACTTTTCAGGGTCAACCCTACCAAAGAATAGAGTAGGTAAGCACTTTGAAAATATCTCCCACGATGAAATAGACGATCCTTCAGCATTGCAATGGGGTGGACCCAGGGCAAAAGCGGTTGTCAGCTGGAGTTAAAATTTATAAGTACACTTGGTTGGAATCTCCAGAACCATCTGACAGAGACACTGGATGTTTGCCAACATTTCCAATTATCTGTAATTGTGATTTATATTTTCTAATTTGTTAGATGAATAAGAAAGAAATTATAGATTTGGAACCCGAACACAAATCAGGCTATCATTAAACCAGGCATGGTTTTGTAAAAAACTGCAAATGATATCATTTTTTTCCCAAGAGTATGAAAGTTTATTTTAAATTTGTGATCAATATTTCAGAAAACATGTCCTAAGATGGTGGGATCTATATGTACATTATTCATTAGGTTGGCAGATGCTTAATCTCTTGAGTTTCATATATTTTCTAGTAGTCATATTAAAAAAAGAAGAAAAATTAACTTTCATAATACATTTCATTTAAGCCAATACATCTAAATTTAATATGAACATCAAGAGATTATTTTACACTCTTCAAAAAATTTTGTCTTAAATCTAGTGTATAATTTTTATCTCTTGACATAATAGAATGTTTCTTCTCATGAAATAAGAAGGTTGAGAACTCTTAATTGATGTAACTCCTTCTCTTCTCTTTTCTTCCAACTTGAACTCTTGTTCTTTAAGTTTCTTTAAGCCTTCTTTAATTATTTTTCTATTGCATCTACAGTTTTGTGTGATACATCTCAAATTTATTTTGGCCAAATGAGACCAGATGAATAATCACATTTGATATGGCCATGATGTCAATGTTCAGTTCTATAGCCTCACCTATGTTTGTCACCTTGTTGGACATGAAGTCCAGAATCACATATTTGGCAGCATTTATAAGAAAAAAATAAAGCAACAGCCAAATGTGACCAAATATAATAACTTTTAACATTCGAACATGTTGTACATCAAAAAGTAGGTTCTTTTCATTCTGTAGTTTTTTTCAAATTGTCATGGAAAATTTTATTTGTGTGCATGTTTTAGCATATTTTGACCATTCTCTTGTGATATGTTTAGTTTCCTAAAATGAATTAGTTACTTTACATTTCTTAAGTCCCACAAATATCTTTAAAAATCTCAAATAGCTAAGACCTATCAAATGTCTTCTTAATGTGGCAGGGTCACAGTACACACATGACTTCCTACTGCAGGGGTTGGCAAATATGTTCTGTAAATATTTTAGGCTTCGTGGGCGAAATGGTCTCTGGCCAGGTTGCACAAAAGCAGCCACAGACAACACAAACGGCCAGAGTGGTTGGATTCCAAGCAAACTTTATTTACTGAAACAGGCGGCAGGTCAGATGTGGCCCTTAGGCCACAGTTAGCTGATCTCTGACCTGTTGAATGGAGTGGAAAGTACAGATCAGGGGAGTGGCAAAATAAGACAGGAGAGTGAAATAACCAGTCCTTTCATTCCACATGACTAAAGCGTCACACCAAGGTCTCTTGTGAGGTACCTGGAACCAGATCCTAAGCTGCCCATGTTTATCTTAGAATTGCAGTTTCCCCTTTCAATAGGTGTCAAGAATCAACACGTATAAGCTCTAGAAGTGGACTTGTATTAGGAGAATAATGTGCATAACCACACGAATGCCTGCATTTTCTCATGGTGCTTTACGAGACTCAATTTCTATGAGCTTTACTTATCTTCTATTCTTTTATTAAAAAAAAAAAAAAAGTGACATTCTCTGATGA